AGCTCCGGTCGATCACCTGCCTCTCTGGACTCAGTTTCTCACTGGAGCAATGGGGATGAAAACGGTCCCCACTCCCCAGTCTATCCTGGCAGTGAAGTGACCTTTTGGCTATAGAAACTCCTTGGAAACCCAGAAACTGCATGTGGACAGAGGCGGACCTTGCTGTCCTGCACCTACCACGGGCCCCCAGGGCCCCGGGCCTCCATCCCAGAGTGCACTGGGCGGGGCAAGAGACCGACACGAGAAAACACAGGCAGGGTCCCCCCCAGCGGGCGTGGCGGGGGTGGGGGGAGGCGCGAGAACGGGGAGACGTGTAATAAATGAGCCGCATGAGGAAAAGAATCGCCAGGTGGGCAACAGTGTGGCCTCGGGCTGAGCCGTGGGGACGGCAGGAGGCCTAGCGGTTGAGAGCACAGGCTCTGAGGCCGACAGGCTTGAACTCCAGCTCCTCAGCAGGGGAGCTGTGTGACCTGGGGCACGGTGCATAAGGTCTCTGGGCCTCGGCTTCCTCGCAGAATGGACCCGTAACGGTACCTAACGCTCAGGGCTTCACGCAGAGGCTGGCACACGAGGACTGCAAGGAGCTGGGTCACCCCGGCTGGCTCCAGACACGAGGGGTGGGCAGCAGGAGACACTGACGCCAACGGGCACGGGGGGCACGCTTCAAGTCCCAGGGGTCTCGGTCTCATTTCCTGTCACCTCACCCCCCAAAAGCCAGCTCTTCTATTCCCTTGCTCCCCCGCCCCAGGCCCTGCCTGGCACTAGGGCAACCCCTCCCCAGGAGACCTGAGCACTGGCTTCTGGGAGTCTGGCTGTTTCAAAAGAGGCTGCTTGCCCATTAGCCCCAGACCCCATCAAAGCAACACCTCCACCAGACTTCAAAGGGCTCCTCCTCCCACAGTCGGAGGGAGGGACGAGGGAAACAGGTGTGGGAAGGCAGGAGCAGGAAGGGCAGACAGGGAGGTCCCAGGCCCGCCTGGCAGAGAGCTCCATGGGAGGCGGGGTCAGCCTGCCCACTGCAGAGAGTGGGGACTGAGGCCTGGAGGACCCGACTGGCCCTCAGCGCATGCCCCCCACACTGAGTGAGACCAGGAAAATGTGCGTCCATCACAGCCCCAACCAGGAAAACTCACGCTGGCTCTGAGGCTGTGGAACCCTCTGGGCCTCAGTTTCCCCGTCTGCGCAGAGAGCAGCTGCACCCAGGACTCTGGGCCTCTCTCCTCACGGTGCCGGTCAGAGGCGCCGGGAACCAACAACCCAAGTCCACTGCGCCTGAGGCAGTGAGACCGAGGCAGAGAGAAGGGTCTGGACCCTCGAAGACAGAGACACCCCCATCGGGGTACACTGGGTCCCGACAGGGGGGCACTGGCACCACCCTGCATGCACCCGCTAGGGGCCTCATGCTCCCCAAAAGCGGGGTCTGCCACACGGCCGACTGCAAGTGCCACCTCTCGGGTCACGAGCATCCCTGCTCCGTCAGCCCCAGCCAGGCCCAGGAGGAAGCAAGGGGCGGTGGGCCGTGGGGGCCAGAAACGTGGCTGAGAACTGGGGTGTCTGCGACGAAGACCTCAGTTAGCTCCTTTCCCCCAGGCACAGTCACAGGTAATTCCTTCTGCTGGTCAGCGTGGGGAGGGGTGCAGGCTGAGACATAAAGGGCAGGGTGGAAAGGAGGGTGCTCCTGGTGTCCCCCAGCCCCGGCTCTACACAGTGAGGGGGGCTCCACACAGAGCTGAGGACGGGGAGGGTGCCAGGTGGATGCCTGAGCAGCAGAGACACTTGAGTCCCCTCTTCTCCTGAGTCGAGGGCCCCTGAAGTGAGAGCCCTCATGTGGGGGACACCAGTCAAGAGGGGGTGTGAGGCGGGACAGCACTGGCAAAGGCAGGAGAGGGGCAAGCCCGGCCCAGAGCGCCTGAGAGGCCGTGAGAGAGAGGACTGGGGGACCCGGGGATCTAAGAGAAGGGGTTCCAGCACGCCCCAGACAGGAGAGACTGATCAGGTATGTGTGTTGGGGGAACCCAGGACCCCCACGGGCCTCTTCTCCAGGCCCAACATCAGCCGTCCTACCCATCCCAACAACGGGTCCACTCAGAGTCTCCCCAGCACGCCACCTGGTCAGTGCTCAGAAAATGCCCGTGAACGACACCTGTCAAAGAGATGAGCAGAGGACAGGAGAAAACTCGGCCCCAGGTGTCACGCGGAGAAGGGTCACCTGCAGAAGCTGAGCCCACCTCCGGCCCAAGGCTTATCACTGGCCCAGCCCCATGCCTGGAGGGCCCCCAGGGTGGGGTGAGGCATGTGGGGACAGCAGGAGTGGAAGCTGCGTCTGTCGCCCAGCAGGTCTGAGTCCAGGATTGGGCAACGCCGTGACGTGGCCACTTGTGCAATTCATGGGCTGCGGCAGGTCGAGCCGGATGCTAATGGCTGCTGGCATGTCCACCCTCCCACCCAAGGCAGGAAAGGCAGAGCAGAGCCCCGCGTGCAGCCACGTGATGGCGATAATGACAACCACCGCCAGCAAGTGCATGTCCTCACTTGATCCCAGGACCACCTGACACATTGGGTACCGTGAGCGACCCATTTCACAGATGCAAGAAGCTGGCTCAGTCCTTGGTCACTTCTCACGCTTCTAGGAGGAGGCAGAGTGGGCTTAGCCCTGGGCTACCACCTGAGCATCAGCCAGCTCTGCCAGGAGGCGGGGGGCTCCAGAAGACCCCTGCTTCTTGGCTGCTGCTCAGATCCAGTGGTCTCAGTCAACGAGCCAAACCAAGCCCCAGCTCTTGGCTACATGAGTCTTTTTAACCATAGTAAACACCCAAAAGGCCCACCACCGGCACCTCCGTCCCAAGCCCGAGACCCGACCCCACAGAAGGCCAGACGCAGCCACTCCGACACAGGCGTCCAGGGGGACCCGCTCTGCCTGCTCCCTCGGAGGCTCGACACTTCCCCAGGGGGGCTGAGCGCCACCCTCCGCCTGGGCAATGAGCTGCGGGCCGCTGAGATCAGCTCAGGGGGAAGGGCCCGGGACAGCAGTGGGGAAGGGACAGGGCGGAGGGTCGGGCCACTGGCCACCTCGCAGTGGTCCCTGGTGATGGCGGGTGGGACACCCAGAGGGCCTCCCAGCAGAGGCAGGACTGGAGTGCGTGTCCAGAACACAGGGCCCGACTCAGCCCCAGCCGCCCTGCAGCCGGTATAGACGAGGGACCGGGGCGGGGCCTCCCTCGGAGGAATCTGGTTCCTGACGCCCCAGTGAGGGCCACCCCCAAGCCGCCCTCCACAGCCACCAGAGCCCCTGGTGAGCCTCGCCCCGCCCTGCCCAGCCCCTATGCAGACAGGCGGTTCTCCAGGAGGGGTGGCGTGTGCGAGTGGACGCCCCGGGGACCGGCGCGCTGTGTGCCCCAGGACAAGACAGTGCCCTGCTAGGGGCGGATGACACCTACCACACAGGGCAGAGGGGGAGGAGGGGGTGCGTTTAACCAACAGTCACAAGCTGCAACGTCCCCAAAGCGATGACAAATCAGACCTCTGCAAAGCACTTTTGGCCTGTTCGGAGGCCCCACTGCCACCTGTCCCACCAACGCGCCCCCTCCCCAGGCCCACAGAGGCCCTGCGAGATCCCCCCTCACCCCGACCCCCCCGGAAAATGGCCACCAGTAAACAGCCGCTCCTCCATAAACTGCCACCGGAGACTTCCCCCTCGAAGCTCACACCTCCCCTTCCTAGGCCAAGCGTCCAGAGCCATCCCAGGCCTCCCCTCCCCCACACCCACACCTCAGGAAAACCCCGGGAAGCCCGGGGCCCGTGTGGAGGTGGCGGACCCACAGCCCGGGCCAAAACGAAGGCCTCAGACAGGCCTCCCGGGAGGGGCCCGGCCGCCCACACTTCCTGCAGGGCCAATCCCTTCACACTTCCCCTCAGGCCGCCTTGCTTCTCTCTCCAGAAGCTTCTCTAACCTTGTCCGAGGCAAAACACACTCATGAAGTCACAGATTCAAGGTCCCATTTACAAGGTTTTTGTTCCTGGAACACATTAAAATAAACCCCAAACACGTTTTAAACCTGGTCATCCACATCCAGGCTAAAACCACCCCAAGGCTCCCCGGGGAGCAGCACCCCCACTCCGAGAAAGGCTGGGCTCATCCCAACTCACATCGTCCACTTGTGTGGCCGAGGCCGCTAGTGACAGCCTACGGGTCACACAGCCACTCCAGGCAGAGGCAGCCCGGCCTCCGGCCGCCTGTCTAGGCCTTGGGGGCCAGGGGCCTGTCACTCGGAGGCCCGCCCAGCCCTCTGCTTCCCTCCCCCTCCCCTCCCCTCCCCAAGGGCCAGGGAGGAAGCCCCTCTCCCCCACTCTGTGCCAGCGGTGACAGGGAAGAGAAGGGCTCCTGCTTCTCCCTGTGTCTGTGTGCACATGTTCGATATGCAGAAAGATCTGGAAGGACCCGCTCCCAGTGGCACATACGAGTCCCCGGGCCTCGGGGTGGGAGGGGTGGGAGGGAAAGGGAGCTTATTCCGTCTTCTTGGGGCAGCTTGGTTTTCTTGTCTCTTGGCATCACTTTCAGAGCTTGGGATTTTTTGTTTATTTTTTTTTTAACCTAATAAAATAAATTCACTCGCCCTTCCCTCGCTAATTCTCACTGTCACTGAGAAAAGTAAAGTGCACTTGTACACGTGAAATTACAGCCTTGGAAAGAGACGCGGACGTGAGTCTGCAGTTCACAGAATTCTAGGAGAAACGGGCCACGTGAACCGCACCGTGGAACAAAACGGCACCTTCCTGTCAGGCCGCGAAAGGCCAGTGACAGGCTGTCTCTGGTCCTTTACCCAGGAGCCGGCCCGCCCGGCCATCTGCCCAGGAGGCCCCGAGAGCCTCCCTCACCCCGAGTGCAGACCCCGTGCACCCTCTCCCAGGCCAGGTCCGCCCGGCGGCGGATGCTGTTCTGCGGTCCCCTTAGGCCCGGGCTGCTAGCACAGATGGCGCTCCGTCCCCACACTCCGCTTTACCTGGCTCTCCTCCAGGGCCCCTGGGCGGCTGGGCCAGGGTCCGAGGCGGCTCGGAGGTGGCCCGGCCCTCGCCTGCCTTGCCTCAGCCAGCATCCAGGCTCACACATGTGAAGGCTCCTTCCACCGGCTACCTAATGAGAGTGAGTCACATCTGGAACCCACAACTTCCTGCTCTGGCCGTGGAGGCAGCAGAACGGCGAACAATGAACCTCAGCTCAGCGCCACTTGAGGTGCGGGGGGCCCCTCTCCCAGCCTCGGCGGAGCCCTTGACAGGATGGGGCTGTGGGGGCGCTGTCAGGCCAGGCTCCTGCCTCCAATGACTTCACGGAAATTGGAAGCTTCAAGCTGGAACGATTTTCAAAAAGTACAAAATAAAACGAGCACCAAAAACCTCCATGAGAAGCCCCGAGACGGCGGCTGGAGGCAGAGAAAACGCATCGCAATGAGCGATTTGAGGCGAGAGCGGCCGCGCCCCGAGCCTCAGGTCCCCACCTGAGAGGCCTGCTGCCTCCCCATGGCACAGCTGCCCCATGCTGGGGCCAGGCCGGAGCCCCCCGAGGACCCCTGCAGCCCTGCGCCCCACGCGGCCAGGAATCAAACCCCAGCTCCCCCCTGCTTTGCCAAGCCTCAGTTTCCCCACTGGGACCATGGGGAGCTCAGTGTGAGGCTGCAGACTAGCGAGGGCAGCGAAGCAGGGAGCAGAGACCTCCTCCCAGGACAGAGGGGGTCCTCACGGAGCCCTCTGAGCCTGCGACATGGGGTCCTGGGGACATTTTCTACCTTTTATCCTGACGGTAAATCCTGCCATTTGCTAACAAAGTGCAGAACGGAGCCCGATGTACCCAGCTAACACCTCCTGCCCTCCCCAGGCCTTCCTTCCAGAATTTTCCTCAGTGGAGGCAGTGGTCAGACTCTTCCCTGCTGACTGGCTCCACCCCCAGCCGCAGCCACCCCTCACACCGACCATCGGTCCCAGCAGGCAGGCCAGTGGGCCTGGTGATCCGCGTGTGGACACTGTATGCTGGCCTCACGCACGGCCTCGTGTCAAGCCCCATGATGGGGGTCCTGCTAGCATCCCTCTTCTACAAAGAAGAAACTGAGGGTCAGAGAGGCCAGTCGACTGCCTAAGCACACACAGCTAAGACAAGACAGAGCCTGGATTCAAACTTGTGTCTGTCTGACTCTGTCCTGTGCCCTCGGCCATACACACCACGACCCTCCTGGGAGCAAGGAAAGGCTCCCCGGGGAGCAGGCTGCTCCGACTCGCACACCACCCTCCTCGGCAGCGTGCCCCGCCCCGTCTCCGAGCCCTGGCGCTCGCTGCTCCCAAACCTGCTGGACCAACTTTCCCTCAGCATCAGACACGGAAGACTGGTTTCTGCTCGCTCGCTGTCAAAGCCCGGCCTCTTCCCAGTAGGCAGGACCCCTCTCGGTTGCTGAGGACAAAAATGTGACTCAGACACAGCACCTGTCATCCAGGCTCCCAGCTTAAGACATGGCCACCCGATGGCATGACACGGAGACCCAGGACAATCATCCATGAAGGCCAGATACATCGTTCAGGGCTCAGGGGAGAGACGTCGCCCAGCTGGAGAGGGTTCAGGGCCTCCCTGAAGGAGGCGACCCCAGATGGGGGTGTCCCAGGCCGAGGGGTGTCCGGCCCACTTCTGTCTGGTGCACGGGAGTCACAGGCTGCAGAGAGCGGTGAGGCCAAGAAACAGTGGGCAGGAAGGAAAGAACTGCCTTGGAAACACGCCGGAGAGGTCGGTCGGTCGGCCAAGTGACACACAGGACAAATAACGCGCACGCCGACCCCGCTCGGCAAAGCCAGACGTCGCGCCGCCCCCCGCCCGGAGAAGAAGCCCCCAGGCCTCGGTGCGCCGTGAACCCCGGGGGGTTTTCTGGGGAGGGGCGTGAGCTGGGAAACAGCTCTCTGTCCTCCCGTCACCTCATCCTTTTCCCACAGGGAGAGTCGGGGTCTCGCCGCACCCCTGAGAGAGAGATGAGCCATCGGGCTGGCACTCGCCCCCCAGCTAGCCCCCCGTCCCCGTGAGAC